AAGCTCTACCTTTTTTGGATTTTCACTACAATTTTTTAAGATTTTACAATATGCATATTAGGAAAATCATGGTCAATTTTGACCATAGAGATTTTATTTGATCAAACTTGGTAGACATCTATAAGAAGATGTTTCATGCCAAATATCTAAGCCCTACCTCTTTTGGATTTTCACAAGAAGATTTTTTAAGTTTTTACTATATACATATAAGGAAAATCAATGACCCCTGGGGCGGGGCCAATTTTGATCCTAGGGCTTTTATTTGAACAAACTTGGTAGACATCCACTAGAAGATGTTTCATGCCAAATATCTAAGCTCTAGCTCTAGCTATTTTGTTTTTTTACTAGACGATTTTTTAAGATTTTTGTAAAAAAATCTTTTGGTTGCCATGGCAACTAGAGTTCTTTATGGAATTTAATTCTTTAAACGACTTTCATAGAGCTTCATTCAAGAAACATCCCTGCAAAAAATGTTCACTTAGTAATTACTTTAGCAATTACTCTGACAAAACATATTAATTCACAAGCGACACCCCAGATGCAAAACATGCTGATCAACATTCCTGTTAAGTTTCATGACCCTATTTGAAATACTTTTTAACCTATTACCCAATTAGCATATTGTGAAAAATGGCCGTTTTCATTGAAAAGCCTCCTGTTAAAAGTTCAAACTGCTATGAAACTATGAAAAATGCTTCAATACTGATTAAATTTTGCACTAATATTAACTGGACCATAGCCTCTGTAACAGCATGCTCCATCGTAAATTTCCTGTTACCATGGCAACGGGGGGACGTCTCAAAATTGCGAAAAAATCACCATTTTGCATTGTTTTTTTCCATCAAAACTGATTTCAAAGTGCTGCAACTTCTCAATGAATTGAGATAGAGTAATGAATTGAGATAGAGTAAGAGTTTTTCAGCGTCGGTTACTAGTTACGCTAAGATTGACCTGAGGCCATTTTTAGCCTGTCACATGTCCAAAATTTTCTTGGCGATGAGGGGGACTTCGCCCCCCTTCAAAACCCAAACAGAAGGGGACACATCCCCCTTCTGGCAACCCATTGATGTACCATTTTGAATGCCGAAAAAGTGGTTACTTTTTTTAACAACATTTCTCAAACGAAAAACAGTGTTTGGGGCCAAAATAGGGCATTCTTTCACTGTTTGAGGCCTCAAAAAGGGTGGGGGGGGGGGGGCAAAAAACCCGTCAAAACACGTCAATATGAGGTAAAAGGTTAAGCTACATGTGAAATAAGTTGAAAATTGCAAATTTTTACTAAGTCAAGGGCAGATACTTCTAAATATGAATTCTAAATATATCCACACGAAAATAACCAGGTGCTCAACTACACAACATTCCTGTAAAGTTTCATGACCCTAGGTTAAACACTTTTTGAGGTACATGCGACACAAGTTTGTTTGTTTTGTTTGGGTTTTACCTCACACCGACACAGTATAGGTCATTTGGCGACGTTCCAGCTTAACTGGTGGAGGAAGACCTCAGATGCCCTCCCGTGCATTATTCAGGCATGAACGGGCACCTGAGTTAAGAACCACCTACGTTCCGTAAGCTAGCTGGATAGCTTCCTCACATGAAAGAACCCAAAGTCCCTGTTGGAATTTGAACCCACAGCGGTGAGGGGCAGCGACGTTAACCACTCGGCCACGGACCCCCCGCGACACAAGTTAAACAAGAGCCACCGCCTAGCTGGGGCAACGCTCGACTTTTTACTTTTTCTAAAAGGAAACAAAGAAATGTTTGAGCACATCTTAACATTTTCTCTTTATAATTTGAAAAGGCCTGTCTCGTCACACTAGTTTTGGCAAAGTATTAATCCTTTCTATAAATAAATGACAAAGTTAAGAAAATACAGTCGAACTTTGTTCGCTCGAACTCGGAGGGCCTGTGCAAATTTGTTCGAGAGATCGGTAGTTCGAGCCAACCGAGGTTGAACTATTATCACGTTGATCATATGCCTAAAGGTTTTCCTAGCTTACATCCGTCGAATGATAAATACGTCAATATAATTGTTTGTTAGTACATCTGTTCGTCGAATATTTCATATTCAGAATTATTATCCCAGTGTTTTAATTAAGTATTAACGGTACGCTGTGTTAATCTATGTTCATGCATATTGTAATTGGTTGAGTTCGATTGGGCAATCACACCAAACTTGTTGAACAATGTTCAAAATATATTTACATGTTTATAATGGGATGAATTTAATTTTAAAAAATAAATTAATGAAATATGTATTTAAAACATTTACAGCAGCATCTATTTGTAGTCATTTACTTACAAAGAGATGTACTAACAAACAATTATGTTGACGTATTTATCATTTGACCGATGTAAGCTGGAAAACCTTTAGGCCTATGTTCTATGTAATAATAGTTCAACCTCGGTTGGCTCGAAGAAATTTGAACAGACCCTCCAAGTTCGAGCGAATGAAGTTCTACTGTATATATATATATATATATACGGACAGACAAGGGTAAATGTAAATGCCCCCCCCCCCTCCTAAAGTGGGGGGCACAAAAATAGTACTTTTTACAGAAAATTCTAAGTTCAAGGGAGATAAACCTGAAAATATTAGTGCTAGAGTCACATAAGATGTGGTTGATGATAAGGAACATATATTTAAAGTTTTAAGTTGATACCTTAAGAAATGAATTAGTTTCAGTGAAAAATAATTTAGTGCAACAAAACTTTAATCTAAAATCTGGACGCGGACGCCGGGCCGAGTAGGACAGCTCTCCATATACTTTGTATGTCCGAGCTAATTAAAAATGACAAATTACATGAAGACAAGAAAAACAAGAGGGCCAAGATGGTCCTAGATCGCTCCCCTGACCCAAAGACCTCATCCGAGCAATGTCTTAGACAAGCATCATGACAAAGTTTGATGACAATTGAGTTAAAATGTGACCTCTAGAGATGACCCATGTTCGAACTCCTCCAAGCAATTAACTAGAACAGCATCTTGACAAAGTTTTATGACAATTGATGACAATTAAGTAAAAAATGTTACCATTAGAGTATTAACAAGGTTTTTCCATATTTGGGCAAAACAAACATTCAGACCAATTTCCAGGATATTTGGATCAGAACAGTAGCCACTAGAGTGGTAAAAAGATTTTTCTTTTTTTTAGCTCCTTTGACCTAGTTTTTGACTGGCGATGACCCATATTGCAACTTGACTTAAAAATCATCAAAACAATCTTCCTGACATATTTCCAGAATATTTGGATCAATACTGCAGCCACTAGTGTTCACAAGATTTTTCTATTTTTACCTCCTGTGACCTAGTTTTTGACTGAAGATGACCCGTATTCGAACTTGACATAGAAATCATCATATCAATTTTTTTGACCAATATCCAAATTATTTGGATCAAAACAGCAGCCACTATTGTTAACAAGATTTTTCTATTTTTAGCTCCTGTGACCTAGTCTTTGACTGGCGATGACCCATATTGCAACTTGACTTAAAAATCATCAAAACAAGCTTTCTGAAAAATTTCCAGGATATTTGAATCAAAACTAAAGTCACTAGATTGTTAACAAGATTTTTCTATTTTCATCTCTTGTGACCTAGCTTTTGACCGGAGACGACCCATATTTGAACTTGACATAGAAAACATCATAACAACTTTCCTGACAAATTTCCAGAATATTTGGATCTAAACTGTAGTCACTAGAGTTGTCAACAAGATTTTTCTAGTTTTAGCTCATGTGATCTAGTTTTTGACCTGATATAAGCCATATTCGAACTTGACCTAGAAATAATCAAAACAACTTTTCTGTTTAATTTAGACGATATTTGGATCAAAATTGCAGCCACAAAAGTGTTAACAAGAATTTTTTATTTTTAGCTCCTGTGACCTAGTTTTTTGAATGGAGATGACCCATTTGATCTAGAAATCATTAAAACAACCTTCCTGACAAATTTCAAAAATATTTGGAGCAAAACTGCAGCCACTAGAGTGTTAACAAGACTTTTCTATTACTAGGGTCTGTGACCTAGTTATTGACCAGAAATGACCCATCTTCGAACTTGGCCTAGAAATCATCAAAAAAACCTTCCTGACCAAATTCCAGGATATTCCACTAGAATGTTAACAAGCTTTTTCTATTTTTAGCTCCTGTGACCTAGTTTTTGACCGGAGATGAGCAATATTCGAACTAGACCTAGAAAGTTTGATAATGATCCAATCAAAACTGTGACTGATTAGACATAACATGTACAGATGTATGGAAGACATTCCACCTTTCATTAATTAACTATAATTTGAAGAAATGCCATGGCCTGGGGCATTTTAGCTTTAGCGGCCCCTAAAATGGGTCAGTCATATTAATATGAACAAACTTGATAAAAGACTATACCTAAGAATGCTACAGACAAAGTTTGATGGTCATCCATCGGTTAGTCCTGTAGAAGGAGACTTAAAAGGTTTTTCTATTTTTAGCTTTAGCTGTCCCTAAAATGGGCCAATCAAGTTGATATGAGCAAACTTGATAAAAAGCTACCTAAGAATGCTACAGACAAAGTTTGTTGATCATCCATCCATTAGTTCAGAACAAGAAGATGATTTAAGTTTATTCTATTTTTAGCTAAAGCTGCCCCTAAAAGGGCCAATCAAATTAATATGAGCAAATTTGAGAAAAGACTACATAAGAATGCTACACTCACAGTTTGTTGATCATCCATCATTTAATTTGGGAGAAGAAGACGTTTTAAGTTTTTTCCATTATTAGCTCTGTTTGATCCTTTAAGGGGCCATTGAAATGACATGAGCAAATTTAAGTGTGACTGTCACAAGGATGCTACAGACCAAATTTGAGGTAAATCTGCCCAGCAGTTTTCAGAGAAGAAGATGATTGTTGACGTATGACAAAGGATGCCGGACCATCCCCGTTTGATACTAATAGCTAACCCTGAACAAGCTAAAAAGCATCATTCATTTACACTTGTACTTGAAAGAAGATGTTACAAACCTGGTTCTATACATGCCCTCACATACTTCTCTTTACAACAGTCTAGAACTTCTCAACCTGTAGAATGGTTATCCTCTCTAACTCATACAAAACTGTAATATGTATAACATGTCTAACTATACTATGTAAGTAAATTAATACATATCTATAGATAAATCAAACAAATTATTTAAATATTCACATAAGTTAACATAATGAGTCAGTTTCTTACTCTTCTTCAGATGTAATATTCTTTATCATTTTTCATTTTCAAAGTTCTAATCACCCTCATTAAAAGTGATAAACAATATAATGTGAACCATCAATGACTATATAAGGAAATATTAACTACTTTTTTCAAAATAAATGTCACAGATCTATTAGTACATAGGAAATAGCTAATACATATATCTCATCATTATAACGCACATTATCTTTGCTTTTATTGATGAGCTAAGAACAGTGTAGTGAGAGAAAGCCTTCTAACATTACCCTTTTCCCTAAATGCTCAGATTTGTTACTTCTAGTAATCTTATACTGAAAAACCACCTCATATCACAGACCAGTTCAAAAGACAAGTTGACAATTATACAGAATTACCTGATGCAGATCTTTCGCTAGAATCTATGTTAAATTTGTGTCTTAATTTGTCTAACTTCTCTGCCACATCGAAACAAAAATTCTCTGAAATAGCCAGTCAAATCAGTAAAAGAATCTTGTTTAAATATATAGGCATTTGCGTAAAATATTTATGCAAAATAATACATTATTATAAGCAAGGGCCATCAAGTGATCACATGTGGTCGCCTTATGATAGCCAGTCATGTGTCAGCTACTGTGTAGCAGGAGACACAAAAATCATTAACAGGGCAAAACACATTTTTTATTCAAGGGCTATGTTACTTGGCTAAAAACCCTTCAACCTGAAATCCTGCTGTGTAATATGGGCAAGTACTTGAGGTACCCATCAATCCTGTGAAGTTTCATTGAAAATGTATTAGTGGTATAAGAGTAACTTAAAGGAACATAACTCTAACAAAAATCTTTAAATCGAAAAATGCTGATGAGATACGCAACTAGACATAGTTTTGATCATTCCTGTAAGGTTTTTATGAAATTGTATCAGTGGTTTTAAAAAGTAGTCCAAACAAGATGGCCATGATGGCCCTGAGTTGCTCGCCAGAAACAACTGCTTTTCAGTGTCGGAAATTATTTTTCAAACAAACTTGCTGAAAGGTAAGTCAAGCTCTTTCGGCAAGTTCAGCTCAACTTAACTTGTCCCTCTTGTAATAAACTTTCACAACACTGATTGTTTTGTTCTTTTTTTCTTCATAATAAACAATAGGGCCAATAAGATGGCCCTAGATCACTCATCTAACCCATCATTTCATCAAATTTTTATCAAAATTCTAACTAACAAAATTTGGTGATCATCCATCAATTAGTTCTGTAGAAGGAGACGTTTAAAGGTATTTCTATTTTTAGCTTAAGCGGCCCCTAAAAGGGGTCAATCAAATTAATATGAGCAAACATGATAAAACATTACCTAAGAATGCTACAGAAAAAATTTGGTGATCATCCTGATTCCATCAATTAGTTCTGTAGAAGAAAAGGTTTAAAGGTATTTCTATTTTTAGCTTTAGCTGCCCCTAAAAGGGGCCAATCAAATTAATATGAGCAAACTTGATAAAAGACTAACCTAAGAATGCTAAAGACAAAGTTTGGTGATAATCCATCAATCAGTCCTGTAGAAGCAGACGTTTAAAGGTATTTCTATTTTTAGCTTTAGTGGCTCTAGGAAGGGGCCAATAAAAATTCATACAAGGGCCATGTTAACATGGCCATCCCCCGCTGAATGTGTTTGCTCAGTGGAAGAATTTATATGTAGTTGAGCAGAATAATTCAATTTTAAGAGGTCTTTTGGTAATTAAAAATGATGCCGAAGTGATAACAGATTGAAACCTATGTGAATACTGATGGCTGAAAATAACAAAGGACAGTAACTGAAAAAATAATGCAGGGTAGGCTATCATTCTTGTGTGCTTCACATTTCTCTCAATGAGATCTATTCACCTATGAAGTTTCAAGTTGATACCTCTAACTCTTTTTAAGACAAGAATTTGTAACAGAGTTACCAACGGAGTTTTATATGAAGCATAAAATTGTGCTAGTTCAAAAAAATTGAGGTATGGATCTCAGGACATTCAGTCTAAAATTATGATCAATGCTAGATCTGCAAATGTAACAATAAATTTGTTAAAAAAATAAAATGAAACACGGAATTTAAAAATCTATCATGTTAAGCTTTGACCTCTAAGTGTGACCTTGACTTTGGAGGTAGGGGAGCAGGTGTTGTGCATGACATAACGTCTTATTATTGAGACTATTTGTGCCAAGTATTTTCAAAAATCCCTTGAACTATGAAGAAGTTATAGATTGGACACAAAATATACCCTATAACAGACTACGTAAACCTTTGACCTCTAAGTGTGACCTTGACCTTGGAGGTAGGGACACAGATGTTATGCATGACATAATCATCTAATCATTGTGACTATTTGTGCCAAGTACTTTCAAAATCCCTTAATCTATGACGAAGTAATGGACGGGACAAAAAATATACCAAACAACAGACTCTGTTAACCTTTGACCTCTAAGTGTGACCTTGACCTTAAGAGGTAGGGGTGCAGGTGTTGTACCCCCGACATATTGGCTTATTATTGTGACTATTTGTGCCAAAGTTATTCCAAAATCCCTTGAACTATGAAGAAGTTCTAGATTCGACACAAAATATACCCTATAACAGACTATGCTAATTTTTGACCTCTAAGTGTGACCTTGACCTTGAAGGGTAGGGATGCAGGTGTTGCGCATGACACATCCTCTTATTATAGTGACTATTTGTGCGAAGTATTTTCAAAATCCTTTGATCTATGAAAAAGTTATAGACCTGACACAAAATATACCCTGTAACAGACTATGTAAGTATTTGACCTCCAACTGTGACCTTGACTTTGGAAGTAGGTGACCGGTTTTTGCTCATGACACATCATCTGATTATTGTGAACAATTATGGCAAGTATTTACAAAAGTCCTTCATAGATAAGAAAGTTTTGGACCGGACACGACATATACCCTGAAATAGACAATGTTTGACCTGAATGTGCAAAGTACGACCTTGACTCGAAGGTAGGGGTCTGGTTGTTGCGCATGACACATCGTCTTATTATAACAAACATTTGTGCCAAGTAATTTCAAATTCCTTTGATAAATGACAAAGTTATGGACCGGACACGAAATATACCCTGTAAACAGACTATGTTAATATTTGACCTGCAAGTGTGACCTTGACCTTGAAGGTAGGTGACTGGTTTTTGCGCATGACACATCGTCTGATTATTGTGAACAATTATGGCAAGTTATTTACAAAATCCCTTCATAGATAAGAAAGTTATGGACTGGACACGACATATACCCTCAAATAGACAATGTTAACCTTGAATGAGCAAGTACGACCTTGACCCAGAAGGTACGGGTCTGGTTGTTTGCGCATGACACATCGTCTTATTATAACAAACATTTGTGCCAAGTAATTTCAAATTCCTTTGATAAATGACGAAGTTATGGACCGGACACGAAATATACCCTGTAACAGACTATGTTAATATTTGACCTGCAAGTGTGACCTTGACCTTGAAGGTAGGTGACTGGTTTTTGCGCATGACACATCATCTGATTATTGTTAACAATTATGGAAAGTATTTACAAAATCCCTTCATAGATAAGAAAGTTATGGACTGGACACGACATATACCCTCAAATAGGCAATGTTGACCTTGAATGAGCAAGTGTGACCTTGACCCTGGAGGTAGGGGTATGGTTGTTGCGCATGACACATCGTCTTATTATAATAAACATTTGTGCCAAGTAATTTCAAATTCCTTTCATAAATGACAAAGTTATGGACCGGACACGAAATATACCCTGTAACAGACTATGTTAATATTTGACCTCCAAGTGTGACCTTGACCTTGAAGGTAGGTGACTGGTTTTTGCGCATGACACATCATCTGATTATTGTGAACAATTATGGCAAGTATTTACAAAATCCCTTCATAGATAAGAAAGTTATGGACCGGACACGACATTTACCCTCAAATAGGCAATGTTGACCTTGAATGAGCAAGTGTGACCTTGACCCTGGAGGTAGGGGTCTGGTTGTTGCGCATGACACATCGTCTTATTATAATAAACATTTGTGCCAAGTTATTTCAAATTCCTTTCATAAATGACAAAGTTATGGACCGGACACGAAAGTGTGACGGACGGACAGACGGACGGACGGACGGACGGACGGACGGACGGACGGACAGACGGACGGAGCCTATTTCTATATCCCCCTTTTTTCTTCGAAAAGGCGGGGGACAATAAGCTCCGGACAAAAAGTATGAAAAAGAACAAAGGGCAATAACTAAAAAATTATAAAGAGTAAAGTTATCATTCTTGTGCACAGCATTCCTCCTCAATAAGATAAATCCACCTATGAAGTTTCCATGTTGACATCTCAAATACTTTTTGAGTTATGCTCCACTCAGGTGAGAAGTATGAAAAATAACAAAGGGCAATAACTAAAAACTTATGAAGGGTAGAGTTATCACTCTTGTGCACCGCACAACTCCTGAGTGAGATCTATCCACCTATGAAGTTTCATGTCGATATCTCAAAGGCTTTTCTAGTTATGCTCTGGACAAAATTAAATTTGAAAAATAACAAAGGACAATAACTGAAAAATTATGCATGCTTGTGTGCTGCACGCCTCCTCAATGAGATCTATCCACTATCAAGTTATCAGTTGATACCTCTAACACTTTTTGTGATAAACTCCGGACAAAAAGTATGAAAAATAACAAAGGGCAATAACTAAAAAATTATAAAGGAAAGAGTTATTATTCTTACATCAGCATTCCTCCTTAACAAGATCTATCCATCCATGAAGTTTCATGTTGACATCTCAAAGACTTTTTGAGTTATGCTCCACTCAGGTAAAAAATTAAGTTTGAAAAATAACAAAGGGCAATAACTCAAAAATTATGTAGGGTAGAGTTATCATTCTTGTGCACTGCACTCCTCCTCAACATGATCTATCCACCTATGAAGTTTCAAGTTGATACCTCAAATATTTTTTTAGATAAGCTCCAGACAAAAGTAAGAAAAATAACAAAGCACAATAACTCAAAAATTATAAAGGGAAGAGTTATCATTCTTGTGCAAAGCATTCCTCCTTAATAAGATCTATCCACATATGAAGTTTCATGTTGACATATCAAATACTTTTTGAGTTATTGCTCCACTGTGTTGAAAAATTAAGTATGAAAAATAACAAAGGACAATAACTCAAAAATTATGAAGGATAGAGTTATCATTTTTGTGCACTGCACTTCTCCTGAGTGAGATCTATCCACCTATGAAGTTTCATGTTTATATCTCAAAGGCAGTTAGAGAAATATTCTGGACAAAAATTAAGTTTTGAAAATAACAAAGAGCAATTAATGAAAAATTATGCAGGCTAGAGTTATCATATTTGTGCACTGCACTTCTCCTTAATATGATCTATCCACTTTTTTAAGTTTCAAGTTGATACCTCAAATACTTTTTGAGATATGCTCCGATTCAAAAATGTCGGACGGAAGGACGGACGGAGACTTTTTCTATATCCCCCGCCGCCTTTCGCCTTTTGACCCTAAATGCATATGAGAAGTTTTAAATAAATATCTTTGATAGTTATTGAGATATGTAAAACTTGCATGTAAACACACACCAAGAGACAAGGAGATATATCAGCCTAAATACAAGAAAGAGTTATGGAACTTGGTCAGTGACATACACTATGACCCTTCATGCATATGTGAAGTTTCAAATCAAAATCTCTGATAGTTATTGAAATACCCTGGAGCTCCGTTATTATAGCGCTCATGTTGGGGTCCATGATCTCAAGACAGCGTTGTAACGAGTAACTTTTTATAGCGCTCATTTTGTAATTATAGCGAAAATATCGCATTACCCCACCCACAGCCGAAACATATACGCTTGTTAGTGGAAATGATAACTTACTTACCTATGAATGGATATCAGTCCAAACTTTTTTATATATTATTAATTATTATTTATTATTTTGTATAGCATTACTGAATATGTTTAATATAAACATGAAATTTACGAATTAAAAATATAAACCACAAATGTATAATTGTTTATAAATTTCCAGTAAAACAACGGTGTTGACGTGAGTTATGTGTAGTCATGAAAATTGATGCCAAGTTGATGGGACTATATTAATCGTGTTTTCTGCTGTCTCTTGTGAAAAAATCAGTCATCTTCAACAACTTTTTTAGATCGAAAGTGCATGCTTTTTAAAATTAATTGTACGCTTGTGTGATTTACTCAACTCTTCGGTGTTTGCATGTCTTAGCTAACAGTTTGATACCTGACTGATCAGCAGTTCAAAATGAACAAAAGAGCGGATTAACGTTTACCTGTGTATGACTTCACACCTTTTGATCATGAGTGACGTAATTATGACTGTTTATTGCACTCGACTGACACATTGAACAAGCGATATAGTGGATAAGGTGCGGTATTGATATACATGAAAAAAAATTATAATCGGCGAAAAATACGTTTTTTTTTTGGGGAGCCAAGGCATATGAGCGTTCTACGGAGATGAGCGCTATATCGAAGAGCGCTATATCGCGGCTCCAGTGTATGTAAAACTTACATGTAAATATTAACCAAGAGACTAAGTAAACAAGATTGCATTTGTAAACAAGATTGCATTTGAGAAACAAGAGGGCCATGATGGCCCTGAATCGCTCACCAGAAACAACTGTTTTTCAGTGATTATAGAAATATTTTTTTCAAATAAACTTGTAGAAAGACAAGTCCAGGTCAACTTCGACTTGCCTCTCTAGTTATAAGGTTTTCCCGACACTGATTGTTTTTTTCTTTATAGTAAAAATGATAGGAACCAAGTTTGGTGATCATCCATCCATTAATTTGTGATAAAATTTGCTTATGTCTGTATTTCAAAATTGCGATCTTTCTTCTTTTTTTTTTATTATCTAAAAAATTAGATAATTATATAATCTCAGTATTTAGATATACATGTATACTGTTTGTCAGGATTGACACCATCGGTCAATATTTATTTTTAAGATAACATAGGTATACTAGTCAACTTGACCAGAAAGATAACATTTCAGGTCATTATCTTACACTCTAATAGAGATGGGAAAAATGGTATCTTTAAACTACATAGAGGAAAAAGGCAAAAAGGTTGTTTTGATGAAATGTATTCAGTGAACATGAAAAACTTTACATACATTGTATGAAACAGTGCAAAATTACTTTCAACAAGTGATAACCAAGTTTGCAAAATGTGATTCTGAATAGAAATAATTGAAACTGATACTAAAATAGCACAAAGAATAAACAAGAGCCAATGCCAGGTGGGGCAACGCTCAAACTTTTTACTTTTTCTTAAAACAAACAAAGAAATGTTTGAACAAATCTTAACGTTTCCTTTCTATAAATTTAACCTGTCTGTCTTGTCACATTAGTTTTGTCTGTATATCTTGAAATATCTAAATATATATAAATGCTTATGGTGGTGGTGGTCAGCATGGTAGCGGTGGTGATCCGCATGGTGGTGGTGGTCCGCATAGTGATGGTGGTCGGCATGTTGGCAATGGTCCACATGTTGGCGGTGGTCTACATGGTAGCAATGGTGATCCGCATGGCGGTGGTGGTCAGCATGGTGATAGCAGTCTGCATGTTGACGTGGTCTGCATGGTGGTGACAGTCCGCATGGTGTGGTGGTGGTCCGCATGGTGGTGGTGGTCCGCATGATAGCGTTTGTCCAGCATGTTGGTGGCAGTCCGCATGTTGGTGGCGGTCTGCATATTGGTGATGGTCTGCATGGTGGTGATGGTCCGCATGACGGTGGTGGTCTGCATGTTGGTGGCGGTCCACATGGTGGTGGCGGTCCGCATGTTGGTGGAGGACCGCATGTTGGCGATAGTCCCCATGTTGGCGGTGATCCAGCATGTTGGTAGCAGTCCGCAAGTTGGTGGCGGTCCGCATGGTGGTGGCGGTCCGCATGTTGTCGGTGGACCGCATGTTGGTGGCAGTCCACATGTTGGCAATAGTCTGCATCTTGGCGGTGATCCAGCATGTTGGTAGCAGTCCTCATGGTGGTGGTAGTCCGCATGACGGTGGTCCACATGATGGATGCGATCTGCATGGTGGTGGGTGTCCGCATAGTGGTGGTGGCGATCTGCATGGTGGTGGCGGTCCACATGGTGATGGTGGTCCGCATGGTGGTGACGGTCCGCACAGTGGTGGCAGTCCGCATGGTGGTGGTGGTCCGCATGTTGGTGGTGGTCCGCATGGTGGTGGCGGTCCGCCATGTGGTGGTGATCCGCATGTTGGTGTCGGTGGTGGTTGGCACTATGGTGGTGGACCACATGTAAGTGGTCAGCATGGTGGTGGTGGTCTGCACAGTGGTGGTCCGCATGGTGGAGGTGATCCTCATGGTGGTGATGGTCCGCATAGTGGAGGTGGTCCGCACAGTGGTGGTCCACTTAGTGGTGTTGGCCCGCATGGTTGTGGTGGTCCACATGGTGGTGGTGGTCCAAAAATTTGGACTTTTGACCTTGAAGGTCAAGGTCATTTATGGATGAAGGTCAAGGTAAGTTTGGTCTACTGAAAGGTCTTGTCCCAAGGGTTGTTGTGGCCAAGTATGAAGACAATACACCAAGAACTTAAAAAGTTATGATCCAGGTACAAGTTTGTGGACGGCAACAGCTATGGTAACTGCAACGGTAACGCCGCCACAACTATAACAATACCTCTACTTTTTTTTCAATAACATAAAGACAAGCAAGTTACACTCTTAAGTTTTGTTCCTGCATGTAAATGCTAAGTTATAAAAGATTTTCAGCCATATCTACATTTATGTAATATTTTCAAATTTATTAACATTTAGCTTATTATTTTCTTAGTGTTTCTCTATTGAGAAATTATTTGAATATTAACTTATGAAAGAAATAAAGTTTCCTTTTAAAAGGAAAGGCTTGCTCAGTGTGTCTTCATCCCTTCCCTTTAAAATTGTGGGTTTTTTTCTTGTTTCAATTTATTATCACAATTTGCTTTGAATTACGGTATTTGTATATCATAAAGGGTTTATATAGTTTTTTCTCGAAAAAAAAAGTTTCACTTTTAAAGGGATAGGTAGGGTAAGCCCAAGACTGGACGAGCACCTGTGCCCATTTGTTTGAGCACCAGTGGTTATGCGTAAATAGGGACCAGAAGTCCACTTATAACTGAACGGGAACAAAAATGAATATTTTTTTGTCAAAAACGATTCGAAATCTTTTCTCTATTAAAATAATCAATCGTAAAAATACTAACATTGGCTCTCACGTGGAGATCAATCTATCGTTCTGAAGGACATTTCATTTCCACTTTTTTCGCAGAGAGAGTCATTCGTTTTGGCAGTTGCTAATTTCATTTCTATAGCAGCTTTAGAGACAAGTGAATGCACTAAAAGACTTCGTTACGTGGTACCAATTAATAAGCATGTATCAAATATGTTACACCTAAAATATCTATGGACAGGAGATCAGCACGTGGTAAGGTTAATGATATGCATGGGCTATTTTTGGATTAACTCAGCAAGACGTTTAAACTATGTCAGTAGATCTAAATATAACTTGACCATGCACTAATATTCTGCGTGATTCGGTCACGATATTTTGGTAAGCAGGACCGCCCTTTGGAGACGGAATAATACAAATAGGCTTGCAGCCGTGGCTGCAAGCCAAAAAGAAGAAAAAAAAAACTGAGATCAGAGAAAGTGGTTCAATTGCAGGTCAATAGATCAGGCTATTCTATATATTATTATTATATTCTCATATAAATATAATACAACAGATACTTAAATGAGTCTCAGTGAAAAACAATCACCTATCTTTTAGACAGTGACAATATCCCATGCACATATGAAACATCAGGTTCAACAGTGTGTCCCAATATTTATTGAAATGTGCTTTCTCCAAGTTAGTAAGCTACCAGAAACAAATAAAACATTTTTAAGGCCTTGAGGAAAATTCTCTAGATTGACCTACAAATGAACCTTAGAATTATGCAATTGCTATCTGAATTCTAGGGCACAAACAGATACAGAGCACATTGACCTTAGATCTCTGTAAAGACATTAAGACATTCAATCTTTTTTTTATGCATAACATGTACATACATGTGAACTTTTTTCAAGAGGGAGAATTTACTTCAAAAAGAGGGAGATTTTTTTAATTGACAGGAAACCAAATAAAGCTTGATACTAAGTCCTTATATATCTTGTATAATGTACTTAAGTTATTTCATAAGAGGTCATGACCTCAAATAATTTCATCAGCAAACAGCAGGTCATTCACATGTATGAAAGAAATTCCAACAGGAGTTGTTTCCCTTTCATTAAACTATAATTTGAAAAAGTGCCATGGTCTGGGGTATCTTAGCTTTAGCAATCCCTAAAAGGGGCCAATCAAATAAATATGAGCAATTTTTATAAAAAAATACTATAAGTATGCTAATAACAAAGTTTGGTGATCATCCATCGATAAGTTCTGTAGAAAAAGCTGTCTAAAGGTTTATATTATTTTTAGCTCCCTTGACCCCTAAAAGGGGCCTATCAAATTAATATGAGCAAATTTGATAAAAGACTACCTAAGAATGCTACAGACAAAGTTTGGTGATCATCCATCAATTGGTTCTGTAGAAGAAGATGTCTAAATGATTTTCTACTTTTAGGTCTAGAGACCCCTAAAAGGGGCCAATCAAATTAATATGAGCAAATTTGATAAAAGACTACCTAAGAATGCTACAGACAAAGTTTGGTGATCATCCATCAATTAGTTCTCTAGATATAGATGTTTAAAGTAATTTCTATTTTTAGCTTTAGCAGCCCCTAAAAGGGGCCAATCAAATTAATATGAGCAAACTTGATAAAAGACTACCCAAGAATGATAGAGACAAAGTTTGGTGATCATCCATCCATTAGTTCTGTAGAAGAAGATGTCTAAAGGTTTTTACTATTTTTAGCCCTAGAGACCCCTAAAAGGGGCCAATCAAATTTATATGAGCAAACTTGATAAAAGACTACCCAAGAATGCTACAGACAAAGTTTGGTGATCATCCATCAATTAGTTCTGTAGTAGAAGATGTTTAAAGGTTTTTCTATTTTTAGCTCTATTGACCCCTAAAAGGGGCCAATTGAAATGACATGAGCAAATTCAAGTGTGACTGTCACAAGGATGCTACAGACCAAATTTGAAGTAAATCTGTTCAGCGGTTTCAGAGAAGAAGACGATTGTTGAGGCATGACGACGGACGCCAGAGTATCCCCCTTTGATACTAATAGCTTACCCTGAGCCTTCGGCTCTGGTGAGCTAAAAATGCTATGCCACCGCATTAATACAACACTAAGTACAGTTGACTCTCGGTAATTCGAAATCCAAGGGACTAGGTATTTTACTTCGAGAGAAACGGAATTCGAGTAACGTGGAACTACCGCCATTACGTTGACTTCGTACATGTATATACATGTACATGATTGAATATGCAAAGAAGTAGGTTTCTTATTGTTGTTAGCGGCAATGCTGCAATATTTAACCATTGAAATGACGGTAAATCACTTTCAACTACAAATTATAAATAAACAAAAATATATCATTCAAAATTTAATACATGTATATTAATAGTGAAACATAAACACACAATTATACTTGATTTAATTGATCATCGGACGAAAACGAAATTAGCAACTATCGTGAACCGGAAGTACAAATTAATGTATGCAATATGACGGAACATTAATTATACAAATATCATTTACGTTGATAATACACATCAATACCTAGGCTGTTATTTGACTAGGCTGTTATTTGACTAACACCCGTCAGGCACGAGTAAACTTTTTTAAAGAAATGTAATTAAATTTTAATTTAATTATCTAACTGTTAAAACTAATTAAGTCGTGAAACGGATTAAAGACACTTTTACGACGTGTTAATAATACATGATGACCGGCAATTAAAAATTACTATGAAAAATGTAAATCACGAGTGACAACATCTCACCTTGATTTCGCCGACCTTTGATCAGTCGGCTGTTTTTACACTTCGACTAATTGAGATGAAAATATGTGGACTTTAATTGACGGGACCAAATTTTCTTTTCGACTAAACAGGAGTCTCGGTAAGTCAAAATTTGACATAAGCGGAGTTAAAATACAAAGATAAAGAAGGAAATTTGACGGGACTTTAGAAATTATTCGACTAAGGCGGAATTTTGAGTAAAGCGATTTTGACTTATTGAGAGTCAACTGTAGTAGTGTAGGAACAGATTTCTTTTGTTTCTATACAATTGAAGATTGTCATAATGCATAGATCCCTGACCTATCTAATCCTTATTATCAGATTAGTGGTTAAATCTATTGTTAATCCAATAAAAGATCAGAGTAGGAATATATCAATGTACTAGTCTAGTGAATTTGGTGGTGAAGGTCATATTTCACATAGCCTAAATTTCATGACTACATCAAAGGACAACACAATATGACACTTTGTCAAAATCTAGGTCAGCTGATATCAAAGTTCACTTTACATCTTAATCTGTGCACATGGTTAAAATTTCATAGCTGTACATCAAAGGACAAGAAAGTAGGTCACATCATCAAAATCTAGGTCACCTGATATCAAAGTTCAATTTTACAACTAAAACTGTGCACATGGCTGTACATCAAAGGACAAGAAAGTAGGTCACTGTCCCCTTGGGCAAGGCAAAATTTTGACCCAAGGGTTTAATTCAAAACAATCTTGATACAGGTCCATCAAACAACATTTCAAGTCAAATATCTAAGCTGTAGCTTTCTCCCATTGAGAAAACATTTGTTTTATTTCCTGTTTTTACTATGTGTACATAATGAGAATCACTGACCCCGGGCAGGGCCAATTTTGACAGCAGGGGAAAAATTTGAACAACTTTGGTAGAGGACCTATAGATGATATTATATAGCAAACATCAAAGCTCTATGCCTTGTACCTCCAGACAAAAATATTTTTTTTTTTTTTACTATATGTTCATAATGAAAATCAATGACCCCCGGGGCGGAACCAATTTTTTTTTTGACCCAAGGCCTATAATTTAAACAATCTTGGTATAGGTTCACTTCACAAAGTCTCATGCGATATATTTAACCTCTAGCCTTTGTCAATTCAGAGAAGAAGATTTTTCAAGTTTTTACTTTATACATATAAGGAAAACTATCACCTCTTGGGTAGGGCAATTTTAACACTAGGGGCCTAATTAAACAACTTTAGTAGAGGACCCATAGATGATATTATATACCAAATATCAAAGCTCTAAGCCTTGTACTTTCAGACAAGAAGATATTTTAATTTTTTGCTATATGTATATAGTGAAAATCAATGACCCCTGGGGGTGGGGGCCAATTTTGACCCCGAGGCTATAATTCGTACAATCTTGCTAGAGGTTCACTACACAATGTTTCATGCAAAATATCTTAACTCTAGCCTTTGTAAATTTAGAGAAGATGATTTTTTAAAGTTTTTACTATATACATATAAGGAAAACCTATGGCCCCCGGGGCGGGGCTAATTTTGACAACTAGAGGCAAAATTTGAACAACTTTGGTAGAGTACCTATAGATGATATCATTTAACAAATATTAAAGCTCTAAGCCTTGTACCTTCAGACAATAAGATTTTTTGATTTTTTACTATATTGGAAATCATCAATGACCCCCGGGGAGGGGTAATTTTGACCCTAGGGCTATAATTTGAACAATCTTGCTAGAGGTTCACTTCACAATGTCTCATGCAAAATATCTAACCTCTAGCATTTGTCAATTGCTAGAAGAAATTTTTTAAAAGATTTTACTATATACATATAAGGAAAACCAATGACCCCCGGGGTGGGGCCGATTTTGACCCCAGGGCTATAATTTGAACAATCTGGGTAGAGGTCTACCAGACAATGCCTTATGCAAAATATCTAAGCTCTAGGCCGTTTGGGTCTTTACAAGAAGCTATTTTAAGTTTTTACTATATGTACATATAGTGAAAATCAATGACCCCCGGGGCGGGGCCGATTTTGACCCCAAGGCTATAATTTGAGGGTCTACCAGACAATGCCTTATGCAAAATATCTAAGCTCTAGGCCTTTTGAGTCTTTACAAGAAGGTATTTTAAGTTTTTACTATATGTACATATAGTGAAAATCTATGACCCCCAAGGGTGGGGCCGATTTTGAACCCCGGGCTATAATTGGAACAATCTTGGTAGAGGTCTACCAGACAATGCCTTATGAAAAAAATTTATTCTTATAATTCCTTTTGGTTGCCATGGCAACCAGATTTCTGCATGGAATGAAATTCTTTTAACAACTTTGGAAGCCCTTCACCCCAGGATCAATCCTGCCAAGTTTGGTTGAAATTGGACTAGTGGTTTTTCACACACATACAAACACACACACAGGTGAATCGCTATATGCCACCGCATCGCAGATGCTGCGGTGGCATAAAAAATTTCTTATAATTCCTTTTGGTTGCCATGGCAACCAGATTTGCAAGCCCTTCACCCAAGGATCAATCCCGCAAAGTTTGGTTGAAATTGGACTAGTGGTTTTTCACAAGATTTTTAAACACACAAAGAAAGAAACAAACATACAACAAACATACATACACAAAAACACACACACAGGTGAATCTCTACATGCCACTGCATCACCGATGCTGGGGTGGCTTAAAAATCAACAGTAGAACTTTTAAAAAGAACATATGTTTAAATGACACCACCAATTTTATGACTATATCAAAGACTTTTTCTACATCAGCTATATTTATTTTCTAAAACAAATGCTGCTTCTGATACCCACAAACACTTGTCATCAGTGAGAAAATAGTTCTAATAATTAACAGTATTAAAAGATGTGGCTGCCATTAGTGATGGAAATCGGATGAAATTTGTCCCAATCGATCATTGGTTCAGTCGGATGGGACATAATCGATAACTTTTCAAATAAAGTCGTGATAAAATAGGGAAGTAACATTTCTTCCCAAGACACTTGATTATATTCAGTAAATTAACTTCATTTAGCACTTTTCAACACAGTTTTAACCTTATATAATCATAATTTTACGAAATAGATTTTATTTTTCAATGGATGTCAAATAATAACATTCACATCACATTACATTACTATTGTTTACATCACTTATTGAGCCTGTTCAACTCCAAATTGTCTCTGAGATGATTTTTTAGCGATCGGCGAGGTGTTTCTAAAAGAAAATTACCGTCAGAATTTATTCCCTTTGATACTTTTAAACATTTTTGACGACATCGCGGAACAAATTTTTGCGAATCGATTATTGTCGTTTTACATAACAGTAACTGATTATTGGCGACTTGCGACAATCGGAACATCACTAGCTGCCATAGAACAGTCTCTTCTTATTGATCAGACAAGGCTTCATTTACAGATAGTCATCAACTCACTGACACATATGAGAAAAGCAAATTCCTGTTTCTGCTAAGTGATGTATAAATATAAACAAGCAATTATCATAGTATTGCAAGCAATCCATAAGTCCCCTACCGGTTAGAACCCCAGCAACATTCTGATCTCAATTTTACCAGTGAATGAATGACATGAATGAACTTAAATCTTTTGAGTTCTAAGTTTTTTATTTCACAGTAATGTGTTAAGTTTCCCTGCTTAGTAAGGGAATTATTTTTATACAATCTTGTCATATTACGATGTGGGATTTTAAAGTAAATCCTATAAGGAATGAAGAAGTTGGAGTAAAAAATACCAATTTCTCGAAAAAAATCTAAGTTCAAGGGGGACATAATTCTGGAAATAGTCTTGCTAGAGTATTTAACCTTCTCAAAAATGTTGAGTGATAATAAGAAACACAAATATATAGTTTGAAGCAGATACATTAGGAAATAAAGAAGTTATTTAAAAAAGACAATTTTTTTTTCATAAAAATTCTAAGTTCAAGGGAGGTAATACTGATAATTTTTGTGCTACAGTTATAAACCTTGTCACATATGATGTGGTTGAAGACCAGAAACTTATTTTTAAAGTTTGAAGTAAACACCTTAAGAAATAAAGAACTTATAGTGAAAAAGATTAAAAATTTAAATCAGAAATCTTGAAATTCAGGCTATTTGTTGCCATAGCAACCAGAATTTTCAACATAGGAAGAAAAGAAAAAGATGTGCATAATCTCCAGACTGCCATTTACCCAAATTTCAAGTTTCATAAAAATATATTCAGTACTTTTTGAGTTATCACTGGATCCAGTTTATGTGTTAAATTTGCAATATTTTCAGACTATTTGTTGCCATAGCAACCAGAATTTTCAACATAGGAAGAAAAGAAAAAGACGTGCATAATCTCCATACTGCCATCTATCCATATATGAAGTTTCATAAAAATATTTTTAGTACTTTTTGCGTTATCGCGGGATCCAGTTTTGTGGACGGACGGACTGACTGACAGACAGACGGACGGACGGACAGACAGACAGACGGATGGAAAACCTAAAGTCCCCTCCGGTTTAACCGGTAGGGGACTAAAACACAAATATATAGTTTGAAGCAGATACATTAGGAAATAAAGAAGTTATTTAAAAAAGACAATTTTTTTTTTTATAAAAATTCTAAGTTCAAGGGAGGTAATACTGATAATTTTTGTGCTACAGTTATAAACCTTGTCACAAATAATGTGGTTGAAGACCAGAAACTTATATTTAAAGTTTGAAGTAAACACCTTCAGAAATAAAGAACTTATAGTGAAAAAGCTTAAAAATTTAAATCAGAAATCTTGAAATTCAGGCTATTTGTTGCCATAGCAATCAGAATTTTCAACATAGGAAGAAAAGAAAAAGATTTGCATAATCTCCAGACTGCCATATACCCAAATTTCAAGTTTCATAAAAATGTTTTCAGTACTTTTTGAGTTATCACTGGATCCAGTTTATGTGTTAAATTTGTCATATTTTCAGACTATTTGTTGCCATAGCAACCAGAATTTTCAACATAGGAAGAAAAGAAAAAGACGTGCATAATCTCCATACTGCCATCTATCAATATATGAAGTTTCATAAAAATATTTTCAGTACTTTTTGCGTTATCGCGAGATCCAGTTTTGTGGAGGGACGGACTGACAGACAGACAGACGGACAGACAGACAGACGGACGGAGGGTAAACCTAAAATCGGACAGACAGACGGACGGAGGGTAAACCTAAAGTCCCCTCCGGTTAAACTGGTAGGGGACTAATAATCATATAATTATGAATGCAAATATTAAGTTTTATTGATTATCATTAAGAAATACTAGCTCACAAGCTGTTCACTCATGAAAAATGACATCAATTCCTCTCCCCTTAGAAAAAACACCTGATAATTTTTTATGAATAAATGAGATACCTTAGTTCTTTTTTGAAGTCATCACTATAAATGTCATATTTAGGTTGAGAGAGATTTTCTTCTATAGCAGATAGAAACTGTTGTCCAGACAGCACCTGTTCATTTCTGCTCTCTGTTGTAGAACATGCCTAAAATAAACAATCATTATAGAAACAGAACAAAGAGGCCTTTTGTCATCACTAAGATTTTTCTTACAATTTATCAATATATGATGTTGCAAAAATAATTACAAGAGGGCCATGATGGCCCTAATATCACTCACCTGAATATGAATAAGAAATATTGTCAACTATAAATCTAAATCTTAAACTGATCTCACAAAGTTCATATTTAGATCTAAAATAGTACATGTGTAAAAACTTTACTGGTTGCTATTGATAAGGGAAAACAACAGTTCCATATGATGTCACTGGTTGATATACAAAATAGATGGTTTCCTTGGAAGTCAGTGTCTCCAATGAAATTCAATGGTAGAGTCACTTGCTATGAGAAGTTGTGTTTGCTGGTTGCTATGAAAATTTAGTTTGCTATGAAAAGTCAATGGCTGCTATGAAGTCACTAGTTGCTATTTAAACTAAACGATTTAGGGAAAAGAAGCCAATGTTTCATATAAAAAATCTAAGCTCTAGCTCTTTTGATTTTTAAGAAGATCTTTTTTGTTTTTCCCATATACATATATGTAAAATCAATGACCCCCCGGACGGGGCAAATTTTGACCCCAGGGCTTTTATTTGAACAAACGTGGTAGAGACCCGCTACAAGATGTTTCATGCTAAACATCTAAGCTCTAGCTCTTTGGGTTTTTTTAAAAGAAGATTTTAAAAAAAATTTCTTTGCCTTGCCATGGCAACCAGATTTCGGCATGGAATTCAATTCTTTGAACAATTTTCAAAGGAACATTCCTATAAGTTTGGATGAAATTGGCTAAGAGGTTTATGAGGAGATGTAGGTCTGTCGTTTAAAGTTAAAGTTTAAGGCCAGACGCCATAAAAAACACAATTACAAAAGCTCACTATGTCATACATTTTGAGCTACACACTACACAAATTGAAAATTTTCACTCAGTCAAGGGCAATAACTCTTAACAAAACATACAAATTTACAAGCGAAACCCCAGGTGCACAACTTCACAAGTTTCATGACACTATGTCAAATACTTTTTGAGAATTGCAATTTTTTTACTAAGTCAATGACAATAACTCTAAAAATACTTTATAAATCTACACGAAAATACCAAGGTGCACAACTTCACATGCTGACCAACATTCCTGTAAAATTTCATGACTCTACGTCAAATACTTTTTGAGCTACACCCGACACAAGTTGAAAGTTACAAATTTTTACTAAGTCAAGGACAATCACTTGAACAAAACAGAATAAATCCACAAGCAAAACCGCAGGTGCACAACTTTACATGCTGAGCAATTTTCTTGTAGGTTTTATGACTCTAGGTCAAATACTTTTTGAATTTCTTGCGACACAAGTTGAAAATTACAAATTTTTACCAAGTCAAGGGCAATTACCTCTAAAAATACTAAATATATCCACTCGAAAATACCCAGGTGCACAACTACACATGCTGATCAATATTTCTGTAAGGTTTCATGACTCTAGGTCAAATACTTTTTGAGCTATATGCGACACAAAATGATAACGGACGGACATCCTGCCGAAATGGAATAAGGGGCCATTTCTTTTGTTATTTTCTATTGTTTAATAGAGGGCCAATGGCCCCTTACTCTATTGTTACAGAATGAACTGTATTGTTCTCATTTGTTCTTTTTATAGTTAGATGGCCCCCTATCCCTATTCGGTAGTTCAGACCGACAAGGGTAAATCTAAATTCTCCTCCCCCCAAAGACTGGAGGCACAAAAAGTTGCATTTCGTGACTGTTGAGGGGTCAATATCTCCTTCCACAATAAAGCTACACAATATGTCTTTGTTGCAATGAGTAGAGCTCGTTAACAGGGAAAAATTATACCAAATATGAAATTTGAAAATTTTTGACATTCGCAGTTTTAGAACAAGCAAATTCATTGAATTTATATCCCCCGCTGAGTACTGGTTTTGCTAACACAACAACTGGTGACATAAGGCTTTATTTATATATTTATCATGGCATAAACAGTAATATTCTTTGTACTTGATAAATATTCAGGGCAATAACAGAGCCATAACTCTGTGTTAAATAGTAATATCTGGACATGCCAATGAGATGTAAATTGCCTTTGTGTATCCATGGTTGCCATAAAGTTTTGTTGAAATCAATACAGCAGTTGCAAAGAAATAGCAATATTGCTCTATATGCATACTACATAACTAATCAAGGGCCATAACTCTGTAATGAAGGGTCTGGTCTGAACAACTTCAACAAGGCAACAATATGCACATCTCCTCTTGGTATTAATGGTTCCCATAAAGTTTAATTGAATTCCAGCCAGTAGTTGCAGAGAAGTAGCGCAGAAACAATTATTGCTCTATATGCATACTGCATAACTAATCAAGGGCCATAACTCTGAGTTAAAGTGTCTGACCGGAACAAGGCGACGATATGCGCATCTCCCCTTGGTATTGAAGGTTCCTATAAAGTTTCGTTGAATTTCAGCTAGTAGTAGCAGAGAAGTAGCGCGGAAACGATTTTTACTCTATATGCATACTGCATAACTAATCAAGGGCCATAAGTCTGAGTTAAAGGGTCTTACGGGAACAAGCTGACGATATCCCCATCTCCTCTTGATATTGATGTTCCCATAAAGTTTCGTTGAATTCCAGCCAGTAGTTGCAGAGAACTAGTCCGGAAACGAAATTCAAACGGACGGACGGATGGACGAACATACTTACAAAATGGTACTTATGTTACTTTTCCTTTGATCTTTTTGGCCATTTTTATTCACACAAGGCTTAACAAGAGCCACCGCCAGGCGGGGCCAACGCTCGACTTTTTTACTTTTTCTAAAAGCAAACAAAGAAAGGTTTAAACTAATCTTAACGTTTCCATTTTATAAATTTAATCGGTCTGTCTTGTCACATTAGTTTTGTTTATCTATTTTTTGTATATATAAATATACTCATTTATATGTGAATAGAAACACGCAATTCTATAAATAGAAACACGCAATTCTATAAATTGTAACAAGCAATTCTATAAATAGTAACACGCAATTCGAAAATAGAAACACGCAATTATTTTTCCTATAAATAGTAACACGCAATTCTAAAAATAGAAACAGGCGATTCTTAAAATAGAAACAGGCAAGTCTATAAATAGAAACACACAATTCTAAAAATAGAAACACACGATTCTAAAAATAGAAACACGCAATTCTAAAAATAGTAACAAGAAATTCTATAAATAGAAACACTCAATTCTATAAATCGTAACACTCAATTCTATAAATAGCAACACGCAATTCTATAAATAGAAACACGCAATTCTAAAAATAGAAACACGCAATTCTAAAAATAGAAACACGCAATTCTATAAATAGATACACGTTGTTGTTGATTATGATCATAGATATATATACACACACCAATTAATATATATGGTCATTTAATGCACAAATCTGAGAAAATTCAGTAATTTAACCTTCAAGGTCAATGTCATTAAAGAGCCCAAGTCAATTTGGGTTTGATAAACAACAAGTTCTGGTCCTTAAGAATGTTCTGTTATAATATGAAGTTGATCCCTTCAATAATAGCAAAGTTACAGTCAGTTACAGACAAAACAATGAAAATTTCAATAATTTGACCTTCAAAGTCAAGGTCATTTATGTGTGAAGGTCAAGGTCTGTCTGCTTATTTTTAAGGGATATCCTTGAAGATTATTATGTTCAAGTTTGACAATCCATCCAAAAATAATAAAGTTACAGCCAATAATAGCAAGAACAAGCAAAATTTGGACTTTTAACCGGTCTACTGAAAGGTCTTGTCCCAAGGGTTGTTGTGGCCAAGTATGAAGACTATACACCAAGAACTAAACAAGAGCCCTGGATTGAAGTCAATGTCATTAATGAGTGAAGGTCAAGGTCTGTTGGGTTATTTTTAAGAGTTATCCTTGAAGATTATTATGTTCAAGTTTGAAGACAATCCATTCAAAAATAACAAAGTTACAGCCAATAATAGCAAAAAAAATGAAAATTTCAATAATTTGACCTTCAAAGTCAAGGTCATTTATGAGTGAAGGTCAAGGTCTGTCTGATTTTTTAAAGGGATATCCTTGAAAGTTATTATGTTCAAGTTTGAAGACAATCCATTCAAAAACTAGAGGATGCTTTTGTAAAAAAGCGCATGTCTCCCCCACTGCTGAGAATAACTGTGAATGGAAACAGGAATGGAAATGGAGATAAGATAATGTAAATACCCGGTAGTCACTTCAATGAAGACTGTCTATGGATGGTTTCTATTGTTAAGGTTGTATGAGAAGATGCTTCCTAAACTGTTTGTTTTTAACCAGGTATTCAATTTTGAAAATCCTGGTTATTCAATCAGCGTATGGCAGGCGGGCGTCAAACGAAATTGCACTTGATGGTCATATAAGAACTCTAGTTATCATCCGGAAATGAGAAATTGACCAACGGTCACTGTGACCTTGACCTTTGAACTACTGACCCCAAAAACAATAGGGATCATCTGCTCAATAAGACCAATCATCCTATGAAGTTTGAGGTCTGTAGGTCTAAAGGAACTCTAGTTATCATCCGGAAACGAGAAATTGACCAACGGTCAGTGTGACCTTGACCTTTGACCTACTGACCCCAAAAACAATAGGGATCATCAGCTCTATAAGACCAATCATCCTATGAAGTTTGAGGGCTGTAGGTCAAAAGGAACTCTAGTTATCATCTGGAAACGAGAAATTGACCAACGGTCACTGTGACCTTGACCTTTGAACTACTGACCCCAAAAACAATAGGGATCATCTGCTCAATAAGACCATTCATCCTATGAAGTTTGAGAGCTGTAGGTCAAAAGGAACTCTAGTTATCGTCCGGAAACGAAGAATGGACGGACGGACTGACGGACGGACGGACGGACAGGGCAAAAACAATATGTCTCCCCCCAGTTTGAGGGTTGTAGGTCAAAAGGAACTCTAGTTATCATCCGGAAATGAGAAATTGACCAACGGTCACTGTGACCTTGACCTTTGACCTACTGACCCCAAAAACAATAGGGATCATCTGCTCTATAAGACCAATCATCCTATGAAGTTTGAGGGCTGTAGGTCAAAAGGAACTCTAGTTATCATCCGGAAACGAGAAAAATTGACCAACGGTCACTGTGACCTTGACCTTTGAACTACTGACCCCAAAAACAATAGGATCATCTGCTCAATAAGACCAATCATCCTATGAAGTTTGAGGTCTGTAGGTCTAAAGGAACTCTAGTTATCATCCGGAAACGAGAAATTGACCAACGGTCAGTGTGACCTTGACCTTTGACCTACTGACTCCAAAAACAATAGGGATCATCAGCTCTATAAGACCAATCATCCTATGAAGTTTGAGGGCTGTAGGTCAAAAGGAACTCTAGTTATCATCCGGAAACGAGAAATTGACCAACGGTCACTGTGACCTTGACCTTTGAACTACTGACCCCAAAAACAATAGGGATCATCTGCTCAATAAGACCATTCATCCTATGAAGTTTGAGAACTGTAGGTCAAAAGGAACTCTAGTTATCGTCCGGAAACGAAGAATGGACGGACGGACTGACGGACGGACGGACGGACAGGGCAAAAACAATATGTCTCCCCCCGAGGTGGGGGAGACATAATAAAGTTACAGCCAATAATAGCAAGAACAAGCAAAATTTTAACCTTGAAGGTCAAGGTCATTTAAGGATGAAGGTCAAGGTTAGTATGGTCTACTGAAAGGGTTGTTGTGGCCAAGTATGAAGACAATACACCAAGAAATAAACAAGAGGGTCATGATGGCCCTGAGGTCGCTCACCTGTATATGCCCCCCCCCCCCGGGGCCAATTTTACCCAAGGGCTTTTATTTGTTTATTTGAACAGACTTGGTAGACACCCATAAGGAAATGTTTCATGCTAAACATCTAAGTTCTAGCTCATTGGGTTTTTTAAAAGATGATTTTTTAAGTTTTTACTATACACATATAGTTAAAAACAATGACACCCCTGGGGCAGGGCCAGTTTTGACCCCAGGGCTTTTATTTGAACAAACTTTGTAGATATTTACTTAAAGATGTTTCATGCTTAATATCTAAACTCTAGCTATTTGGGTTTTTTCAAAGAAGATTTTTAAGTTTTTGCTATACATATATAAGGAAAATCAATGAACCCCGGGGCGGGGCCAGTTTTGACCCCAGGGCTTTTATTTGAACATACTTGGTAGACACCCATTAGAACATGTTTCATGCTATATATCTTAGCTCTAGCTCTTTGGGTTCTTTAAAAGAAGATTTTTTAAGTTTTTACTATATGCAAATAGGGAAAATCAATGACCCCCTGGGGCGGGGCCAATTTTGACCCCAGGGCTTTTATTTGAACAAACTTGGTAGACATTCACTAGAAGATGTTTCATGCCAAATATCTAAGCTCTAGCTCTTACAGTTCTTTAAAAGAAGATTTTTTAAGTTTTTATAATATGCATATAGGGAAAATAAATGACCCCCCCCCCCCCGGGTGGGGCCAATTTTGACCCCAGGGCTTTTATTTGAACAAACTTGGTAGACACTCACTAGAAGATGTTTTATGCAAAATATCTTAGCTCTAGCTCTTTGGGTTCTTTAAAAGAAGATTTTTTAAGTTTTACTATATGCATATAGGGAAACTCTATGACCCCCTGGGGCAGAGCCAATTTTGACCTCAGGGCTTTTATTTGAACAAACTTGGTAGACACTCATTAGAAGATGTTTCATGCTAAATATCTTAGCTCTAGCTCTTTGTGTTCTTTAAAAGAAGGTTTTTTAAGTTTTTACTATATGCATTTAGGGAAAATCAATGACCCCCGGGGCTGGGCCAATTTTGACCCCAGGGCTTTTATTTGAACAAACTTTGTAGACATTCACTAGAAGATGTTTCATGCCAAATATCTAAGCTCTAGCTCTTACAGTTCTTTAAAAGAAGATTTTTTAAGTTTTTACTATATGCATATAGGGAAAATCTATGACCCCCTCAGTTTTTTAAAAGAAGATTTTTTAAGTTTTAACTATATGCATATAGGGAAAATCAACGACCCCCTGGGGCAGGGCCAATTTTGACCCCAGGGCTTTTATTTGAACAAACTTGGTAGACACTCATTAGAAGATGTTTCATGCCAAATATCTAAGCTCTAGCTCTTAGGGTTGTTTAAAAGAAGATATTTAAAGATTTTTCTTTCGGTTGCCATGGCAACCAGAGTTCTGCATGGAATTAAATTCTTTGAACAATTTTTAAAGGTGACCACCTAAGGAACATTCCTGTGAAGTTTGGATGAAATTGGCTCAGTGGTTTATGAGGAGATGTCATTTAAAGCAAAAGTTTACGGACGGACGCCGGACGAAAAGCGATCACAAAAGCTCACCCTGTCACAAGCTGATCCAGGTACAAGTTTGCGGACGGGAACGGCAACACCGCCGCGACTATAGCAATACCTCTACTTTAAAAAAAAAAAAAAAAAAAAGTCAAGCTAAAAAAAGACACACAAGTAAAAACAGAATGAATAGGATCAAAGAGAATTTACTGTTACCCATTGTTGTCAAAGTCACACAAGTACCTCTGGGTTCGTACGGACGGACGGACAAGGCCAAAACAGTATCCCCCTCCCAATTCTGGCGGGGGATGATTAAGGTGACACAGTGTATATATATAATTATATTAGTGTGCAACAGGATAATCCTTTAATCTGCTAAAACTGTTGAGTGATAAGCCTTTGCAACCAGTATAGAGCTAGGTTTGTGCAGTATGACCAGGCTCTATACTGTTGGCTGTCTGATAAACTTCTAAATTTTAATTTTGAAATTGATAATGGACAGTTCTATAATGGAAGGTGGAAAAGTTCATTTTAGAAATTCAGCAAGTTAAGGGTTAAGGAAAATTGGCTATATCTATGATATGTGAATAATATAAAATAGAGTTATCTACCCTGACATGATCATAAACTCTTCTGAAGTCAACAGGTCGGTCTTTACCCTCCATGGCTGCTGGATCTAGACCATCTGCTCCATATACAAACTGTACGATTTCGCTGGTCGAACTTCGTACTGTCATATCATAATGTGAACACAAATCCTCCAAACTCTGCAATTATATTATACAGTCTACAGTGCCAGTTATATATTATTATACAGTCTACAGTGATAGTTATATAAGTAAAACTACGGAAAATTCTATTTTCATTTCATAAGATACTTGCTTAATCATTATGTCAACCATGTAGATTAGCATTTCAATCAAGTAGAGTTTTGAATAACTTTATATTGTTTCTTCTGTGTTTAATTTTTATTTTAAAAAATGTAAAATTGCTGAATTTGTGCAATGGACCCATCCCTAGATTTGCCACTACAGTAAAGACTGTCTTAGTGACCCCCTGTATATAGCGACGTTCTGTCTTTAGTGACCATAGTTAGGCGCGCCTAACAGTATTTACTATATAAATGGTCTGTATGTAGCGACTCCCTGTCTAGTCCGTACAACGACCATGATTTAGTCACCCGTTACGGTATTTGAGCCGTGAAAAGCGACTTTTGCAAGGGGAGCAGGGCTTGAACTAGGTGGCGACTTGGGCGAAGAAGTCACCTTCGGATCAGCGACTTTGCCTAAAACAAACTTCAAAGAGATTTTGAAGTTGCCCGATTTTTATAATTTTCTGTCATACTTATTTACGCCGCTAGGTCTGTTAACAATTTCTTTGCCTCTCAATTACAACCAATTACCATTAATCCGCTAGTTAAGAACGCGTGTCAACATCAACAAAGTCTTATACATGCCGCAAGGCAAGAGTTCACTATGTATATCTTTCTCATTATGTATTCATGTGATTGACGAATCAGAACGCGCTTTGTATCTACGGCAGTTTGGATTGACCAATCGGTGACACGCTTGTACACTGTGACTGTTTGTTGACAATTACACAAAATGGCGACAGATTCAATCAATTTTCGCCGATAGAATGATTAAAGACACCTGCATATACATAATTGCTGCGGTATTTTGGCAAGTAAAGATAAACAATGCCCAACGTCTTTAAGGTGTGGTTATGTTCGAAACCTTGATTGTTAAAATTTTTTTGGAGATCTGTAGAAATTATGTGAAGATTTGTATCTAATGTTTTATTAATACATTGAACTCTGTAAAGTAAACAGGCTGATTATACAAAATTAAATGTCTCTACAGTAACATCTCATTAGTAAAATTGAAATTAAACATTTTTTTACAAACAGATTTATCAATATAAATTACATTTTTAATCAATTTCAGGGCCGGCAAAATCAATTGTCCGAGTTGCCCGAGTCGTACAATTGTAAGTCAGGGCAAGTAAAATTCTGCAGTTAACTTGTCCGTGGACAAGTAAATTTCGGCAGCTAATAGAGGAATTTTTTGAAGAAAAAAATCTTGTTCTTTTCTAATAGATCTAAATCAGAAGGAAAATCACACATTTAATACGAAAACTAGCATGTGAAGTGTGGTGTCATTCGTGAGGGCATGAATCCGTGCTTATTAGGGTATTACTATTTAAAGTGTTTACATAAATAGCGACCAACCAGGCTTGGGGTTTTCCTTACGTCATGCAGTTACTGCATGCGCGCGGCAATTAACTAATTATTGAACGTATTAAGGTCACTATGTTGGGGACATGTTTGTTTTGGTTTATGACTGCCGACTTAGCCTCTGCAATAAAATATTTTCGGTAGCAACGGGGATTCTGCCATAAAATTGACTTGGAAGCTGTGGTCTTTTCAAGCGCATTTATTGTTTAGATAGCAGACACAGCATCAATCTCGCAACAATTGTCTTTGAAATACCGCTGTGTTGTTTCTTTTCTTTCTTTCTTTGTTTCATTTTACGCCTTTTCCCAACAGTATTTCAGTCATATAGGCGGGTAGTTTCCTAACCATCATTCCTGGAGAGTTACACCAGTACTAGACTACCTTCCTCCGTGCTAAACTACCAAAGCATCTCCTGGGGATCGAACCCATGCCAGAGAGGTAACTGGATTAGAAGTCATCGACTCTAACCCCTTGACCACGGAGGCGGTCCGCTGTGTTGTATGAAAGTTAAATACATTGTATATAACTTTTCCAGGTCATTCGAGAATATTTACGCAAAATAAGTTGAATCACATCGGCAATTTGACTGCTTGAACTTATGTGGACAAAGTCATTTTATAATTTATTTTATGTAAAGATTTCTAGTGAAAATGCCTTTGTTTTTGAATGTCTAATACTGATGTTAATGTATACATGTCAGTTTTATCGTCGCCGATGATAATGATGTCAAAATTTTCACAATTCATCTGCTGCAACCAAGCATATATACGTATATGATATTACATTCTGTGACAATCATAATTATATCGTTAAAAAAGCCAGATTTCATCAATTTGACAAGTCTTACTCAAGAGTACATATGATTTTTTAACAGGATTCAAATGAATATTATATAGATGAATAGAATAAGGAGTGAAAAAATAAGAAATGGTACCAGAGTGCAAAAAATGAAGACATATTTTTAGAGCAATTTGGGTGCAAGTGACACAAGGAAAACTGAAAAAGTGCTGGCAAAAGACCAATGCTCCTTCCAGTAAAATATACACAATTTGTCCATCACTGCCGTTCTACTTTAATCTACTGCCGTTAACATTTTATAAATATAAATTATATTATAATCATAATATATTATATTATTAAACATATGCCACAGAATGTTGAATAAAATTGAAAACTAGAAATGTGTCCATAGGACACGGATGCCCCCACACGCCACTGTTCTGTCAATCTTATGACTCTAGGTCAAATATTTTTTGGACTACATGTGCCACAAGTTGAAAACTAAAAATCAACAAAGGGCCATAATTCTGTTAAATTTGGTCACGAGCAAAAATTCCTTCCTTTTCTACCATCTACACATTAAGGTTGTTAATCCCTGGAAGTTTAAGCAAAATCTGCCATCCGGTTTAAGTGTAGTTGTGTTCACAAAATTTCTACATAGTATATAATGAAAAAATCAAAAAAGGGCCATAATTCTGTTAAATTTGGTTGCAGCAAAAATTCCTTTCTTTACTACCATCTACACATTAAGGTTGTTCATCCCTGGAAGTTTAAGCAAAATCTGCCATCCGGTTTAAGAGGAGTTGCGTTCACAAAATTTCTACATAGTATATAGTGAAAAAATCAACAAAGGGCCATAATTCTGTTAAATTTGATCGCAGCGAAAATTCCTTCCTTTACTACCATCTACACCTGAAGGTTGTTCATCGCTGTAAGTTTAAGCAAAATCTGCCATCCGGTTTAAGAGGAGTTGCGTTCACAAAATTTCTACACAGTATTTCATGAAAAAATCAACAAAGGGCCATAATTCTGTTAAATTTGGTCGCAGCGAAAATTCCTTCCTTTACTACCATCTACACATTAAGGTTGTTCATCCCTGTAAGTTTAAGCAAAATCTGCCATCCGGTTTAAGAGGAGTTGCGTTCACAAGATTTCGGGACGTACGGACGGACGGACAAGTGCAACGCTATATGCTCCCACATTGTGGGGGCATAAAAAGTTCATAATCATATTGCTCTTCTTTAAAGTTACATTTAATAAATTTCATAAAAACAGAAATATCGACATTTCATTAATAAATTGGGTTTCATATCGACTCCAGATCTTATTTTGGTGTACAGATAACCAAAATAAGTTTTATAAGCATAAAAATGAACGACCTCATTGTGGCGAAATCGGAAGTACAATATTTGTTTGCATGAGAAACTCCGCCTTCAGATCATCCGTACATCAATATTAAACTAACAATCATGACTATAAGTAGCAGTCCTAATTTAACGGTATATTTCCGCATTGTAACGGATATTTTCAATACAAAATTTAATCTTTTTTTAAGAGATGATTACTTTTTAAACTGAACCTCAAGCCTAGTGCACCGTGAAGTTAAAGGGTTAAAATGGTGTTTTGCAAACAAAGAAAATCTCATATTTGTTGTGTTCCGGATAGCAAGCTACAACTGTGTTATAACCACTGTGATCGTAGCGCATTACAACAAAGCTGATTATAATCTTCATTTGCATGTTAAAAAATTCGTAATATCGAACTTTTAAAGTGTTCCGTGGGGTTTTTTCCGTCTAAATAATCCTTATTTTTAATGAAACATTATTTTGATGAGATTTACAACAACAATACTGTTTAAAAGCGCGCTTAATGAATCTGCAGAATGCTTGTTTTTTAGGTCGACGGCAAAATATCTTTACATATTTATTTAATGTAGCTTTAATGACATTTGCAGTAAATATTAAATATAAATACGGACAAGTGAACATTGAGTATGGACAAGTAAATTTCTTAGGTTACAAATCAGTGGACAAGTACAATTTCCTGAGATTGTGCCGGCCCTGTCAATATGTAACTTTTAAATACTAATGTAATGGTGTAGTTTATAATCTTAACCAATTATACAAGCAATTTTAATACTGTCTTGTTTTTTATAAATGATATTTGGTATGTTTAATATCAATAAACAAGATTGCATTTGAGAAAAATGCTATGCCACCGCATTAATACAACACTAAATAGTAGTGTAGGAACAGATTTTTTTTTGTTTCTATACAATTTTGTAGATTGTCATAATGCATAGATCCCTGACCTATCTAATTCTTATCAGATTAGTGGTTAAATCTGTTGTTAACTCAATAAAAGATCAGAGTAGGAAAATATCAATGCACTCAAGTCTAGTGAATTTGGTGGTGAAGGTCATATTTCAAACAGCCTAAATTTCATGACTACATCAAAGGACAACACTGTAAGACACTTTGTCAAAATCTAGGTCAGCTGATATCAAAGTTCACTTTACATCTTAATCTGTGCACATGGTTCAAATTTCATAGCTGTACGTTCAAAGGACAAGAAAGTAGGTCACATCATCAAAATCTAGGTCACCTGATATCAAAATTCAATTTTACAACTAAAACTGTGCACATGGTCAAAATTTCATTGCTGTACATCAAAGGACAAGAAAGTAGGTCACTGTCCCCTTGGGCAAAGCAAAATTTTGGACCCAAGGGTTAATTCAAAACAATCTTGATA